TGCGATGATTTGGTGGTTAATGTAAATTCATCCGTTGATACCGCTTACAGATTGTAATTGGCTTTTACGAGGGCGGTGGGAATTATGGGGGTAATTTTTCTTCTTAAACAGCCTTATTAAACATTAGCTTACGGCATTATTTCACGAGAAAAGGCTGATGGATGGCCTATCAGCTGGTATGATGCATCGCGACGATGTATCTTCGACCTGCGAGATGAAGGCCTGGTTATGGAAACTCGGCCAGACATTAGAAACTAATACCCTCTCCGAAATGTTTATACCTTGCTGGATAAATCGTCAGGCTTCTAATTTGCAAGTCAAGTGATATTATACCCCCGGAGTCTCGAAATTAACATTTATTGCTTTTCGCGAGTTCAGATTTCTGGAATAACGACCCCATTAATAAGTCGATTTAACGAGCGTTACGTTTTCCCTTCGATACTCCTTTCCTAGTTTCGGATTGCAGTTGGAAATAATTTTCAGCTAAGGACAATCGACAAGCGGGAGGAATTGTTTCCTTTTTCGAGTCCTGGATGCGCCGAGCAATTTATTGCTCGGATCGTAATATAGTTTGTTGCACTTTACGACTTGAATTTGCAGAAACCGGCATTAACGACGCCGTTACTAAGTCGGTTTAATGAGTGTTTTGACGATGGTCGTTCCTTTGTCGTCCACTTTGACGTTATCGTGTCGTGTATATCATGCCATGACCATGTCCTTTAAAAAAAAAAAAAAATAATGTAAAAGAAGTAACATTGCAAATAATTCATATTTTATTCCTGGAGAATTCCGCTTGTGGAATATTTATGGGATCGCAATTTTTACGCCTTTCAGGGGGTTTCGGTAATCTCTCGGATATCGCGAAATCGAGCAACAGATTGGAGGAACGCGAACGAGTTCATAAATCTCGATTGCGCATAATGCGGCAAAATGGCCGCAACGTTCGCGTCGATAAAAGCGCCGAATTGACTCGCATAAAGTCAGGTTTTCTCGGCCATTTATCGCCACCTGGTCTTGGCGAAATTTCCCGGACACTTGGCCAACTTTCGTCTACTCTTTTAATTTCTCTAGATTTATAGGGAAATTATAGGTAAGCTGCGATTTTTCGCAAATTTGCTGAAAAGTCCCTGTTCGATGTTCGCGACTATTCGAGCAAAAGTCTACTCGACGGGACAATGTTCGACGAAATGGCGGGCTGGACGAAATGGGATTAATAAAAAAAGCGAGGAAAAGACCGAACGACGAATTGCAATTTCACTCTGCGGAAAAACATTGGCCCTATCGATTGGCAAATGGCGGCCAGCTTGTTTACGCATCTTTACTCGACTTTTCGCACTGAGGAGGGAAGCGAGCTTTTAATAAGTGTCTGCCGGGAAATTTGAAACGTTCTAACTTTCGAGTCCGCTTGCCTAGGAAAAGATGTCCATCTTATTTGGAAATTTATTTCACTGTCCAGGTTTTTTATTTTTTTACCGGGAATTTTCGAAAACGTCCCCAAGTTCCTGAAAACTCCACCCTGGTCGTCCCAGATACTCCACTAAATATATTCCCAGTGAAATACCAACTCGTGTCAATTTTTTAGTACCGTCATATCTGCAACTACGCTGCTAAAGCAAACAATTTGTCGGGGAAATATCGAATGGCATTTACGGTTATCGGTTATCTAGTCGGTATTCCCGAGTGTAGAGCCTGGCTTAGATATATCTGCATATGTTGGAGCGAATTGTCGACCTCTAATTTGTCCACTTTCGCTCTCGGACGGCGAAACTGCTCGGTGGAAAATGCCCCGGTTCATCGGTACAGTTGTCAGGTGTAACTACCGATCGTACACTCGTGACTTTAATGTCTATTGACCGCCTCGGCGGTTGGATCGCACCTAGGAAATCCAGGATTCGATATGCGCTCCGGGCGGCTCGGCAAATCGCTCTTTACTTTCACGTTTCGTTCCTAAGTAGTTTCCAAGTAACCGTGAATAATGCCGGACAGGACGGGATTCCTGCTGGAATCACTTCATCGTGCCCGATTGTGCCCGCGAAGGTGCAAGGGGGTCTTAAGGTGGGACGAAAGCCGGCATCGGAGGAATCAATGACACTTTTTCCCGAAATTAAACACACCAATGTACCACACCGAACGTACCTGTGGCTTTAAAAAATGAAACAGCCGGATAGCAATGCGTTAAAATGACGGGGAAATTAGGAACGTCGCGGGACGAAAGGGGATTCGATTAGTCCAATCTACGGGGAAAAGGGAAAAAAGAGACGCCAGAGAGGGGACGAAAGGGGTGGACGGCTCGTTTGTTTCGCAACTGCGTGTAACGACGTTACGGCAATTGCGAATCGATCCGCGGTGGAGCACTCTACGATTATACAGCCATTTTATTTACCTCGCACGAGGTTTCCCAAATCGACGATATTTCCCGTGCAGTTTCTCGCCTTGGTCTGCACTTTTTGACAGAGATCCCAAGGCGAAGGAAAATCCGGCGCATCGCCCGGAAATATGGCCGTTTGTCCATTTCGAGGACAAGTGTCTCTAGGGGATATCTTTTTTGCTGATACCAGCTCTAACTTTTTCCTACTTTTTTTTTTTCCCCGAGAGATCGAACTTCCGCATACGACGCGAAATCCTTCGAATCGGGAAGAATTCTCTCAAAGTTTTGTCCCGGACACCGATTGCTCCCATCGATTCCGAAATGCACATTGCACTCTGGAAAAATGATGCATTATGGTTTCGCCTTGATAGCGATCGAAACATGTCCGCGTAAAGCAGCGATTTGTCGAGTCTCAAAGTACAGGCACCGGGAAATTGGTAATTGCGTTAGCACCCGTGTAATGGATCGGGAACGTCCCTTAACATTCCGGGTAATTTCAACAAGCGGTTGTCATGCCACGGTTGCTTGTCGCGATTACGACGGCATACGTAATGGCCGAGCCCCGATGGAAAATCGCTTTCCCGAGGGACTCTCTTTGAGCTTTTTATTCGATGCAGGAGACAAGCTCTCGGAATTGCCTAGACTTCCCTAATTCGTAATTCGCTTTTACCCGGAAATCGGCTTTCCTAGGGTCCCCAGGCCTTTGGTAGCCTGCCAAAAGTCGATCCATCGAATCGGGCCTTCGTCTCTTTCACGTCCCAAGAAATTCCCCATTCTGTCCTTCGACTTCCGAAGAGCCCTCGTAAAAATAATTTCCCAGATAGGAATTTTCCTCAATCTTTCACTCGACATATTTGATCGCAAGATTTCTCTTTTTCGGAATATTTTTGAGATGGTAACGTGCTCGAATAAATCCACCAGAATGGGAAGAAGGGACGAACGGTGCTCGAGAGTATGTTATTAATTGATTTCCCTTTAATCGGAGGAGATTTCTGTGTTATCGGACGAATGATGGCATTGATAGAAGGGTCTATTTTCGTTGTAAATCCCGATTCCATTTCTCGATTCGACCCGATCGAGGCCGACTTTGGCCTGATCGGAACCAATCGATCATCCTGGCACTTTACCAGAACTTTCGGACGTTTCTTATCAAGAAGTCCATCGAGGAGAGTGGTCCATTGGCAGAGCTGGGCTTCCTCGATTTCGTGGCCGGCAAACAATCGGGGCAAACAATGGACCCAGCTGCCGAATGGACCCCTGGACCAGAATCCCGGAGAGATCCCCGAGAAGAGTCGGCCCTTTTAACGAGGAAGTCCTTAACGCGGGATGTAAAGAGACTTTCAAGCAGGTCTCGCCGCGGCTTAAAAGAGACAGAAAACGTTAACTCGAAGTCACTTTGTTTCGTCGCACCCAACCCCAGATGAAACCCAAATGAAACCCGCCAGTGGATTTTTAGGAAATCGGTCCCGAAGACGAAGCTCCATTTTTCCTTGATTTTTGGTTATCAGGAAGTGGCGATAATCTGAACTCCTAATGGACACGCTTTTATATAGTTAAGAGTATATTATATGGACGCCTTTAAATCGATACCCCGATGAACTACTTTTTCGAGGAATAAGCACGGGATAGGCGAAATTTCGGAACAAGGAGGATATGATGACTTGGCCGAGTCTCCTCGTTTCGAACACCCCGAGGTGTTTTCGGACGAGCCTCATCTCGAGATCGGAGATGCGAGGCTGGCTTAATATCGGTCCAGACAATGCTTCCCCGTTTGTTCCTTCTCGCTGCACTCAATCGACCGTAGACTCGACAATTAATTCCAAACCCATGTCACGAGGTGGCTAAATCGGCATATTCGTATCCCAGTGGAACGATTGAGGGAGTTTTGGAATTCTTATACCGTAGAATGTAACAAATGAAAATCTGCAATTTCGCACATCGAGTTGAAAAGGACGCTGGCGAGAAACGTACCGACGCCTTCTCCGGGGCTTAAGCTCCGGGTTATTCGGCGTGTAAAGTGCAAAGACTAATGGCGCCCGGGCGGATAAGCCCTGTCAAAAGAAGTCCCAATTATTCCCGGTTGTTAGTTCGCCCGAGGAGCTTGCAGAGGCGGAGAAACGAGCTCCTTGGTAGGAGCTCGCCAAAAGGAACAGCCGTCGGTTAGGGCATGGCTTAAAGGGCCGACGTTGGATACGGTAATGAGGTTCCTCGATCGGAGTATTTCCAGGGTTGACACAGTCTCACGGTGTCGAATTAGAACCCTGTCGGCTGTACTCGAGGGCAAACCTCGAATTAGAGTTCAAAGGTTGGGGAGTCGAGGCGTTTTGCATCGAGGTTGCTCGTTATCCTGACGATCTTTGAGCGTTCCCTGATCATCCAAGAGAGCCTTGGGGATCGTAAATCAAATCTTTCATAAGAGTCGTAACTTTTAATTAGACGCGCTTCCAGTTAATCGGCATTACGTGGGTTAGTTCCTTGAAATGGAACCTTGTCCTTAAAAACGGATGGATCTTGAAACACTGACATGGAGTTTCCAAGTTAAGCGGCTGATAGCGGTGTCAAGGGTCAGGTGATAACGGCGGAAACGATATATACCACGTTACCGATATAAGTGGAAGCTCGTCGTCGAGTTCCATCAGTCGAGTTCCTGCAGTCCGGGTCGTTGGTGAAGTTCCCGACATGAAGTCAAAAGCCATTCCGCAGCTGTGCATCCTGGTGCTGGCACTTGGGGGGAAATTTGTCCTGTCCGAGGATGAGGACCTCATATGTCGGGTCCAGGACGCGTACGAGATATGTCACAAGAAAGGAGTCCTCGTAAAAGTGACCCAAAGACGCAACCAGGACGCCCTGGAGATCAGCGACCTGGACCTGCTGTCCATCAAGCCCGGAGCCTTCCAGGACCTAACCACGACCCATCTCTACCTAAACCAGGGGAACCTGATCTCATCCCTGTCCCCAGGATCCTTCGGTGGTCTGCCAAAATTGACAAACCTACACCTGGACGGCAATCCAACGACTCTGGTGCCCAACCTCTTCCAGAAAGTCCCCGGCTTGACTTCTTTGTCTCTGGTCTTCTGCTCCATCAACGACGTCCCACCTGGATCCTTCTCCGGCCTGAAATCCCTCACCTGGCTGTATCTAAACCACAACAACATCAAGAGGATCAAAGCTGACGCCTTTTCTGGGATTAATCCTGATCTCCCTTATCTCTGGCTCGACCACAATAAAATAGAGACCATCGACCAAAGCGCCTTCGCTGGTCGCGTCGGACTCAATCGGCTGCATCTGGACTTCAATCAGCTGACTACCATTCCTGACAATTGTTTCAATGGACTGGACCAACTGGAGTTCCTGTACCTTAATGACAATCACCTGAAGGCTCTTTCGAAAGGTGCCCTGAGTGGATTGGGGGGATTGAAGAAGCTCATGCTGAACAATAACCAGATCACCAGCATCGAACCTGGCGCTTTTCAGGGAATGGCCCAGTTGAAGTTCCTCCACCTGGATGGGAACAAATTGGCGCGTTTGGATAACGTCTTTGCAGGACTGACAAGCCTGGCTGAGCTTAGATTGTCGAATAATGAGATCGGGCAGGTGCAGGATCGAGTTTTTCAGGAGATGGGAGCTTTGCGTTCGGTGTATCTCGATGGGAACAACGTGACTAAAATCGATGGTAAAAGTGCAGGGTTGTCGACTCTGGCCAAGGTATACTTTGCACCGTAAAACTAACTTGTGTTCATGGTGTTGTTCTAAAAGTACACCGCGAGGCCACCGTAAATTCGAAAAATGTGGTATTTGAACTCGGGGGCTGTTTCAATTTAAATTTGTATTTAATAAATGCTATCGAAGGGATCAGCTGACGTTTTATTCGGCCCAGGGGATGACGTGGGACGAGGTGGAATTTTGAAAAATGGAGAGAGGAAGGAACTCGCGTCCCAGGTGGCGGAGAATTCTGCCTGGCTTGGAGGAGTTTTTCCGGCGTTTCCCGAAATGGAAATATTCCTCGGTGACGTTCGTTGTTTCGGGCGACGCCTTTCCCGACGTGGTCGCTTCTTTGCATCCATTTTCCACTTTGGCGGTCTCCTTTTTTGCCGAGAGGCCATCCGTTTCTCTCTCGCCGGTTCCTGCTGGGTCGGACTCAATTTCCAGAGAAAATACGCTGAGCGTAATCGACCCGACGTGTCCGCTCTTTTTCCCGCTTTTCCTACTTTTCCTGCTTTTCGGAAAAATCGGGGCTGTCCCTGCTCGATAACGTCCTCACGACCCCTGAACTATGTCGTCCCAAACGCTCCAAAGTCGCGGTTAAATGAACTATAAATCCTGTGAAAAAAAAAAAATGCTAAGTACATCCGTAACATTTTTTACGCCCACTTTCCGATCCTATATTTATCCTCGGTTACAGTTATCATAATTGAAGCCATGCAATTTATTCCCCGTGTAGCGAGTTCGTAATGGCGATTTTTTTTTTCTGTCGGTCGTTTTAAGAGATTCGAAGTGCAGGAAGTCGAGAGATGGCACACATTCGTCCTGCGATAAAGGAAACAAATGGGAAAGGATAATCACGGTTACAGGAGGGAAAAAGTAACGAGTTTCGGGAACAGATGCGCGGTTATTAGCCGCACATATCCGTGATTAATGTCCCGCAATTAAAGAGCTGTAATACGTAATTCGAGGGAGAATACGCCGGCGTAATCGCCTCTCCTGCCCGCAGGACGATCGTCCTTTTTGTGGAGTCAGCTTCGTCCTTCCGGAGATAACGTTAACTATATCGCGGAGCTCTGGAGGTTGGCAACCGTGAGTGCTGGACTTGACTCGAGGAAAGAAGGAAAATGCCCTGGAAATGCAACTGCATCTCCCGGGTGCATCCGCGAAGACGAGGCGCCTCCTCTTCCCTGAAATGGGAGGAGCGCGTTTTAATTAAACGTTTTTATTTACGATGCCCCTTAATAAGGCGCGCGTAAATGGAGAAAAATATGGAATTTAGGATGCACCTTTGGGGAAATTAATATTAGCACTTTTTAATTTATCAGTTTCATGGTTTTAGATTCTTTGAAACAGGAGGTGAAAATTTTATCTGTTTGGGAAAACTGAAAAATCATACGGAGTAGGGCTAAGTCTTGACATTGTTAGGATCCTTTTTTTTTTTTTTTGGAAACTCGAAAGTTCAACCACACACGGTGAGGCTAAATCTTCCCTTTGTTAGGGACGTGTTTTAAGTGGTCCTTTGAGCTTTTCTTCGTGGTCATTTTCTAGACCGGATAAAGTTGGGGGCTTTAAAGTTCCCCGCAAACTTTCAACTCCGGTTTTCCTGGACAAGGACCTTTTCATTCCTGAAGATAAAGGATGAAAACCTTTTTTAATCGCTGATCAAATTTTCCCGATCGACGGTCATACGTCAGGACTGTTGTACGACCTCTCGTTAAATTTGTTCTCACACAATTTTCAGTCTCATCTAAAATTTCAATGAATATGGAATTATTAAACTTGGAATGGACAAAGTAATATAGCAATTCCTATATTTAGAGGAAAATCGTGTGAGAGCGAAATGGCAGATATCATGTCGTGGTTACCTTGAGAGTGCCGAGACGCGGACAAAGGGAAAAGGAGGACAAAAAACGAGGATATGTAATCACATCCCTGGTTGGTTTACCGCAACGAAAAAGCAAGTGTCCGGCTCTCGCAAGAATTGAAAGTTAAACCGCGGATCAGCTGATCCATTTCTTCTTGGAGAACACATATCGGATAAATTCGTCGAGCCGCGACTTAAAGAGTCAATTAGATTCCTTATTGAGACGCAAATTAGCGAAGCCATTTTAGATCTAATTATCGTCCAAGAAAAAACAGAATTCGCCAAAATAATTCGCTATAATAATATGTCTTCCCTATGGTTCTCATTATTTCGTTATTTATTTATTTCGGAAGAGTGAACACGCGTTAGGGGAGGTCATCTAGTGGAAAAAGAAGCGAAAAATGAGAGGGTTGCATGAAATCTAACCAGACCGGCGCTAATGGGAAAGCAAAGCTTTCTCCAGATTTGAAGGTTCAATCTCGGAAGGCAAAGCAGAGCTTTTTCTTTGGCGTGTCAGAAGCCAAGAGGGACGCACTTCGCGAGTGGTCCTTTGAGCGGAGCTTTAAAGCAGAACGCACCGGCTGTTAATTGAATACCTTCCTGTTATTAATAATTTCATAAGCGTCGACTGTAGCCACGCTACAAAAGTATTCATCCCAACCTTTGAAAGTGCCACTGGAAACCTGTTACTCCGATATTTCGCGGCTAATTTGCATTCAAAGTTTCTGCAATTCCTTCCTCTCCAATTAATAGATTCGAATGTAAAGTAACAAATTTACAGTTTAAACAGATATGCAATATAAATCCGCCCGCGAGTTTATTTAATTCACTTCTAAGATTATCTCCCTTCATTTGTTTTTTTTTTGTTGTATTTCTTTTTCTCAGTTGCAATTTAGTGCAAAGACAGACATTAATTCCGAGGAGAGGTGGCTTCGTTTCCGCTTTCGAAACTCGAGTTCTAGTCCTAGGGAGGAACCGGAAGACGCACCTAGGGTCCGCGCCCGCGCAAAAGCTCCGGTGCTTTTCACGTCCATTTTAAACTTCTCCAGTTGGCGCGACTCGGGTCTTTGAAACGAAAGTGCTTTCCGAGGAGGGTCTGGAATTTAATTCTATATTATTAGGCACACCGTGTCGAGAGGAGAGCTAATGTTTGCCGTGCTATCTCTTGGCAAAAGCCGAACCCCATCTGCCGATATCTACGGGGCGAGTACGTGCATGGTGTCGGGATACTCCACTTCCTTGGATCCCGTTTTCCCGCGAGGTCCTTGCGGGATCGTTACCCCTTCCTCGTTACTCGTTACTCCGGGCTCCGTACTTATTACCCGACGCTTGTTGCCCGCTCCTAGGAAATTGCACCTAATTTCAACCTTACCCTCCGGGAGGGATATTAACATTCAGGACGGGATAAGAAACGCGTGCGCTATTTTAGAATGGGATTTGCAATGAGGAACTGTCGCGGATTTATAAGGAAATGGCTAATTGAAATGAGAGAAATTTTTCTGGATTTTCTTATTTCTTTCCTCCAGTGTATGAATTTTTTTTAAAAGGCCTCTCGAATTCACTTCTCGCGAGGGAAAGTATGAGACGCGTCTCGGTCCCGCGAGACGCGTAAGGCTGAAAAGTATCGCATTACCGTGTACGGAGGACGTCGACGCTTTATTCATAGACGGTAATATCGGGTGCAGTTGGAACCGATCCAGAGTGCCGTTCTCCTCTTTCTTCGGCACCGGCAGCTCCGTAGGTATTATCGTGAAACGTGACGTCGCAATTTCGTCCTTGGGCATCCTGCCGAGTGCGAGTCTTTCCGAGTCTTTTTCACCCCTTTCGAGTCCCGAGACCACTTCCGGCCCCTCCCTTGGGAGAGGATGCCCATCTTAGGAATTTCTCCCCAGGACCTAGAACTCGGAGAGTCCTGCCGTGTTTCTTCAATTCTTGAAAAAAGAAGAATAGAATTCTTCCGGAATTTTTTCTTCCCGCGAAGTGTGCTTCGGAAGGCTTCAAATGTGCCCTTAAGGGGGTGCGAACCCTTTTTCGAGTCTTCGACGAAGCGCCGTCCATTACCCACGTAAGAAGACCCCGATCGGGAGTCCATGACCTCCGTGAAACCCATTACCCCTTCTCGTGGGGCATTATCCCGTTAACTTCCTGCCATTACCTCCTCGGTTGACACCAGGAAGCGGAAGAGACGGAAAAGTCCACGATGGACGTCGGTCGCGCCGATCAGGAAACCGCGCTCCGATTTTCCGTCGGTCTCCTTTGCACCATTTTCAGCCGCTTCCTGCTCAGTTTTAACGCGGGAAAAACAAGGAGATTATAATTTATACAAAAAGTGGCCTTCCGGGATGCAGATACCGATCGAGCTCGAGTTGATACGCGTACTTCCCAGGAACGTTTAAATAATCCCCTGCATTTCCTGCGCTTCGATTCTGAATATAAAAATCCCGGGGCGCGCAAATAATTTGCAACAATTTCATCCTTCCGATTTTTGTCTGGAAAAAAAAAAGAAAAAGAAAAATTGACACTTTTACCCTCGCAATAATTTCCTCGGCTGCATTTAAGAAGCGCAGATGACTTGCAACGAGTCCATTCTTCTCCCTTTTGCTCCGGAGAAGTTTCCTCGGGTCGCCGGGAAGTTGGAGGCTTCGGATTCGATTTGGGGAGCACCATTTCTAGGTGGGATTGAATCGAGACCTGTTTCTCCCGAGTGGGAGGTGAATGCAGCCGCGAGTTAACGACGTTGCATCGCGGTTGCACCGCGAGAGAGCAACTTCGGGATTGAACACCGACGAAGCTTTATGAGATTTGACGGGCTTAAAGCGCGACGATAAGGGAGGACCTCGATTTCGACCTCGAGCCTCGCGATTGCGATCGTCAATTTAAACTTCGAATTAAGGATTAAGTACTTTAAGCCCTTTCCCGACCTTTTTGTCGAAGCTTCTCTTCGGGCCGAGCCGAGGATCGCCTTAAAGCGACTCTTCCTCGGGAGCTTCGGATGCCTCCAGGATTGGCAATCGATCTGCCCCGGTATATTTTAGGCGGCTTTTCCCCCGTAATTTATGGCCTCGAGTTTCCCAGGGGGGGACCGGAGAAACTTAAGTTTCCGACGTTTCAAGTTCTGCGACGAAACTTGAGGACGTTAACATAAGAACGCGGAGCTTACGACCCCGTAAATTTCCATACCTTGCGTGTCTCGCAATGCAAACGCACCGGCGAGGATTTACGAGGTGCATTTCTGTCAACAAAAAAAAAAAAAGAGGAAAAGCCGGCAAATTTACAGCCACGT